CCCATCTTCCTCCACTTTATATGGGACGCCACCACAGCATGGCTTTCCAAGCAGTGCGTCGGTGTGCGCCCGGGATGCCAACCAGCGAACCCCGGGCCACCCCAGTGGACCGCGTGCACTTAACTGCTTGTGCCACCAGGCCGGCCCCTGCTTAGCTATTTATTGGAAATGGATGTGGATTTTGTGAAACACTTTTTCTGCGGTCTATTTATTTTTCTTAGTTTGCTATCATGGTGAATTACATTGATTAATTTTTTATTGATTTGCATTCCTGGCATAAACACTACTTGGTCATGCCGATTTCTCATGTTGATATACTCTTGAATTTGATTTGCTAATATTATGTGAGACATTTTGCAGCTATGTTCATGAGGGATATTAGTCTGTAATTTTCTCTCCTTGTGATGTCTTTGTCTAGTTTTGGTATCAGGGTAATTATGTCCTCATAGAATGAATTTGGAAATATTCCACCATGTTCAAATTTCTATTATATATTTTGTATTATATTTTACTTAAACGTTTCGTAGAATTCACCAGTGAAGCCATCCAGGCCTAGATTATTCTTTGTAGGCAGGCCTTTAACTGCAAATTTAATTTCCTTGGTAGATATAGGGCTAATCAGGTTATCCAGTTCTTCTTGAATACACTTTGGGAGTTTGTCTTTGAAGTAATTTATTCATCTACATCATCTAATTTATTGGCATAAAGTTGTTCAGAATGTCCTTGTACTATCCTTTTAATATCTGTAGAATATGTAGAGATGTCATCTCTCTACCCGTTGTATTGGTAATTTGTGTCTTCTCTCTTTTTTCTTGATCAATCTAGCTAGAAGGTCATCAAATCTATTGCTCTTCTCAAAGGAATAGCCTTAAGTTTCATTGATTTTCTCTATTATTTTTCTGTTTTCTATTTCATTTATTTCAACTTTCAACTTTATTATTTCCCTCCTGTGCTTTCTTGGGTTTAATTTGGCCTTCTTTTCGTAGTTTCTTAAAGTACAAGCTAAGGTTATTAATTTAAAGCCTTTTTGTTTTGTAATATAGACATTTAGTGCTATAAATTTCCCCTAAAATATTGCTTGAGCAACATGCTACAAATTTTAATATGCTGTGTTTTTATCTTCATTCAGTTTAAAATGCATTCTAATTTCCTTTTTTGTTTCTTCTTTGACCCAAGGTTTATTTAGAAGTAAGTTCTTTAGTTTCCAGATATGTGGGGATTTTTCCAGATATCTTTCTGGGTTGGTTTCTAATTTAATGTCACTGTGAATAGAGAAGATACTTTCTACCATGTGAATCTTTTTAAATTTATTGAGATATATTTTATGCCTCAGAATGTGGTCTATCTTGGTAAATATTCTGTGTAAACTTGAAAAGAATGTGTAAACAAGAATTCTCTTGTTGAGTGGAGTGTTCTATAAATGTCAATTAGGTTATGTTTGTTGACAGTCATGTTCAAGTCTTCTATAGCCTTATGATCTACTTGTTCCATCAATTATCAAGAGAAAAGTATTGTAACCTCTGACTGTATTTGTGGATTTCTCGGTTTCTCCTAATTTTATCAGATTTTTGTTTATGAATTTTGAAGGTCTGTTAGGTAACATTCAGTATTTATTGTTTATATTTATTGTAAATGTTTTAGTATTGTAATGTTCTCTTGATGAATTGACCCCTTTATCAATATAGAATGACCTTCTTCATCCCAGGTAATAGTCTTTGTTCTGTAATCTACTTTGATATTAATAGAGCCACTCTAGCTATCTTTTCATTAATGTATGTATGATATTTTTTTTCTATCCTTTTACTTTTAACCTATTTTTACCTTTATTTAAAGTGTATTTCTTGCAGGCAGCATATATTTGGATATTTACTTTCTTAAACAACTGAACAATCTCTACCTTTGCATTTAAGGTCATTATTGATATAGTTTAAGTCTATCATCTATTTATTTTTTGTTTGTCCCATCTGTACTTTGTTACTTTTTCATCTTTCTCTGCTTTTGTTTTGATTATTTTTTTATGAGCCATTTTATTTCCTTTTTTGGCTTAATAGCTATAATTCTTTTTGTTATTTTAATGGTTGTTTGTAGTTTATAACATTCACATTTAACTTATAACATTCTAACTTCAAGTGATATTATACTACCTTATGTCTAGTATAAGACTTACAGCAGTGTATTTTCATGTCTTCCCTCCTGGCCTGTGTGCTGTTGTTATACATTTAATTTTTCCTCTGTTATAAATCTCATACTTCATTGTTATTATTTTTCTTTAAAGAGTCTATTATCTTTTAAATTTTTAAAAAAATAAGAAGAAACCATTCTATAATTACCCATGCAGACACTATTTCCAGTGCTCTTCATTCCTTTGTATAGATCTCAATTTCCATTGGTTATCCTTTTCCTTCTGCCTAAAAGGACTGCTTTTAGCATTTCTTATAGTTTGGGTCTGCTAGTGATGATTTTTTTTCTGCTTGTCTATAAATGAAAACGTCTTTATTTTCACTGGGTATTAAATTCTATTCTGACAATATATTTTTTCAGTACTTTAAGGTGTTCCTCCACTGTTTTCTCACTTGCATTGTTTATGATGAGTAATAAGCTGTCACCCTTATCTTTGTTCTTCTGTACATAATATGTTTTTTTACTCTGGCTTCTTTAAATCTCTGGTTTTGAGAAATTTGATTTTTGTGTCCCATGGTATTTTCTTCATTTTGTGCTTTAAGTTCATTGAACTTTGCTATAGACTGAATGTTTGTGTACCCCTAAAATTCATATGTTGAACCCTAATCCCCAGAATGATGGTATTTGGAGATGGGGCCTTTGAGAGGTGCTTAAGTCATAAGGGTGGAGCCCTCATAAATGGTTTTAGTACTCTTATTAAAGAGACCCCAAAGAGCTCCATCACCCCTTCAGCCATGTGAGGACATAGCAAGAAGGCAGTTACCTATGAACCAGGAAGCTGGCTCTCATCAGACACCAAATCTGAAGGCAACTTGATCTTGGACTTCTCAACCTCCAGAACTGTAAGAAATAGATTTCTGTGGTTTATAAGCCCCTGAGACTGTGGTATTTTTGTTAGAGCATCCCAAACAGACTAAGACAGTTTTTTGGATTTGGAATTTATAATAATCAAAATTGGAATATATTTTTGCTCTATTTTCTGAAATCTTTTTTCTGTTTACCTTATCCTCTCTTCAAGGACTCCAATTACTTTTGTATTAGGCCCTTTTAAGTTTTCCCACAACTCATTGATACTCTTCATTTTTTTTAATTCTTTTCTTCCCCATGTGTTTCGTTTTGGATAGTTTCCATTTCTATGTCTTCAAGTTCACTAATCGTTTATTTCTCCAATGGCTAACCTGCTGTTAATCTTATTCAATATAATTTTCATCTCATACATCATTGTTTCCATCTCTAGAAGTTCAATTTGGGTCTTGCTTTTAAATGTGTATCTCTAGTGAATTTTTTGAACATCTGGAATATAGTTATAACTTCTGTTTTAATGTCCTTGTCTGTTAATTCTAACACCTGTATCAGTTCCGTGTCACATTTAATTTATTGATTTTCTTTTCATTATGAGTTGTATTTTCCTGCTTCTTTCTGTGCCTCGTATTTTTTGATTGGATGTCAGACATTGTGAATTTTACCTTGCTGAGCTTTGCTTTGGGATGAAGTTAAGACACTTGTAAGCAATTTGATCCTTTCAAGTTTTGCTTTTTTTTTTCTTTTTGATGAGGAAGATTGGCCCTGAGCTAACACCTGTTGCCAATCTTCATCTGTTTTCTTGAGAAAGAATGGCTCTGAACTAACATCTGTGCCCATATTCCTCTATTTTGTGTGTGGGACGCCTCCACAGCATGGCTTGATGAGTGGTATAGGTCTGCGTCAGGGATCTGAACCTGCAAACTCGGGCTGCCAAAGTGGAGTGCACTGAACTTAACTACTACACCACTGGGCCAGCCCCAAGTTTTGCTTTTAAGATTTGTTCATCAGTACTGGATCAGTTTTTAATCTGGAGCTAATTATTCCCTGCTACTGGAGTAAGACTCTTCCAGGTACCCTACCCAGTGTCCACTGAATTTACAAGGTTTTCCAGTCTGGCTGGTAGGCACACACTCTCTTCTTACCCCTTTGAGCACCGGGTACTGTTTCCTGTAACATTTCATTTTAACGTAATAGATAGTTTTGATTGGAGAGAGAAGAAGAAGGGCCCTTCCTTACCTCTGCTAGTCTGCACACTTAGAATTTCCAAGAATATAAAATAGTCATTTCCCTCATTAATGTCTTAGGCAAAGCAATAAAATGTCTCTCTCTTCCTTCAGTAAGAGCAATACCTCAATAGGCTCTCACTTCATTCTGGTTCCCCTAGACCTTTATCATGTTGACATCATCACATTTGTTAGAATTGGATTGTGATTGGTATTTATTTTTTCTTTCCTCAAATTATCCTTGCATTTAAGATATAGCTTAACTTGTTATCAAATTATAGTTTAACTTTTCTCCTTCAACATTTGAAAATAGCACTCTTGTCATTTTTTTTCACTGTTGCTGCTGAGAAATGTGAGGAGGTTTATCTAATTTTTATTCCTTTGAATATTGCTTTAGCAGTACTACTCAAAGTGTGGTCCGCAGGCCAGTACCTATATATAAACTGTTTCTTGCCAGTTGTTTATGAGGCAAATACAGACATAGAGTATTAAAAAGCTTTTAGAGAAAATTGACAAAATAATTTTAGGCATATTGAATCAAATCATAAAATAACTACCACTTGTAATTGTATATCTTTGTCTTTTATTCACTTCATTTTTCCAGTAATTCATTTAAGAAAATCATCAGTCTGTGATATATCAGATATAAAGCAAGAAACATCATTTATAACAATAACAAAAAAAATGATTCTTCTCTGCAGAACATTTAAGAAACACTGCCTGACATGGTCAGAAACTCAGGTCATGGAGACTCTTGGAGCCTTAGACCAAGAGGCTTCATAATCAGTGGGTCTGAGGCCACCCATCAGGACTGAAGTCCTACGGTTTACAAAGAATGGGCTACTGTCTTCATGGTATAGGTACTTCCTCTAAGTTACTTAATATTGTGAGGATGAAGAGATTTCCATAGATTTAAATTTGAAGTAAGGATAGAGAGACCCAGAGAATCTTGCCTGGGTGAAGGAGAAAATGTGGGTACCATTAGTCATGTTGTAGAAAGAAATGTCACTGTCCTCATAATCCAAGAAAATCACAATCTTTTGTGGACACTTTTCTATCAGGAGAGTCTTTTCTAGAGAAATGTCTTGGAGACAACAGGCAAGAGCCCTGTATTCACATCCCTTCTTCTCTAAGACTCTGAATGTCTTCTTTTGGAGATCTTTGATCTTCTCTGTGGGCTCCTCATAAATGCCTAAAGTCCACTCCTCAGTGTCCTCAACATCCATCTCCCAATAATGTTTCCCTGAAGTGAAGTTTTCCTGATTAAGTGTGATAAGGTTGCAGTCTTCTTGCTTATTACTAAGAGATAGATCCTGTGTTCCGTCCCTTAAGTTCTCTTTTCTCCCTGGGTCAGAATTGTTCTGGTGAAAGATTTCATGATTTAGAGTCACAACTACTGTAACGGGGAAAAAAAAAGGAAAGGACCAAGAAAGCTGTTGTACAGGGGAAACCTTAGGGAAACAGGGCAAATGTGGATCGAGTGGTGAAAGAACACCTCTCCCCTGAATATGTGTGTGTTGGGGGAGGTGAAGTCGGGGGGTTAGATGTGCTCTCACCATGGGTTCTATGCTACTTATCTCATCTGATCTTATCTATGCTACTATCAGTTTCTTTGCAGAGTGCCAGAGTGAGTAAAGGACTTGCAATATTTACTTGAGAATAGTGTTCTTTTCATGTTCTCTACAAATTGGACGTATATTCCTCAATTAGTAATGGGCTCCATGTGAGCTGAGCTCTTTAAAAAGAGAAGCTGAGTTACTCTTGCCACTTTGAGCATTTTTTACTAGTTGAGGGTCTCCTCAGCTGAAGGGCTATGAATTCCTGTTTCAGAACCAAGTGGACTCCACAGACAAAAAAGCTGGGCCAATATATAAAGGTGGGAATACAACCAGAGGAGCTAATCCTAGCAGCAATTTCAGTTCAGGCTATCATTTAATGATCTTCATGTTCTTCCTTCTCTTTACCCAAATAATGGTGCCTCTGGATCTTCAATGGGATATCACAGGGCAGGTTGGAGGGAAGCCAAAATGATAAAGACCCACTCACCAGGCTGGAACTGTTCCTTCCTCCAGTCTGAAAAAGAGCAATATAAATTGAGACCTCGATGGAAGTATATCCAGGGAATGAAAAGGAGGCAAAATGCTTCCTTCCTTGGCTCATTGCTTTCTCCTCTCAACTCTCCTCACTTCCTCCTCTAAGTCCCTCAAACTCTGGTAGTGTCCAGAAACTACAGGACACGTGGCATGCTTTCTGTGCTCATTCTCAGGTTAGGGACTATCCCAAAATTCAGCCTGATGCTGGGGGAATAACCTTCTCCCACCTGAGCCGGGTTTGGAGAATACCTGGAGCGGGGTCTAGTTAGCGTTCCAGGTGCCCATGCTTTTAAGACTGTTATGGCCCTCCTCATTGAAGATGAGAGCTGTGAAATGTCCTTTCATTTTACTTTATTTTGGGGTTTTTCCAGCCTATGACCTCCTCAGAGTAGAGCTTAAGCTTGCGGCTAAGGTCTTTAAACTGACTCCTGTTATTTTGATCCCTGTAGTTAGATTTTTCATATTTTTCTCCAGAGACAGATTCCTCATGAGGAATAGGACTGCATCTGCTTCTGCCTGCAGCCACTTCTGTTATGGTAAGACTTGTGATTTTATTTAAAGATTGGATATTCTCATAGAGTCTTGAGGCAATAGGCAGATAAGAACATATCCGTAATTCTGAACAGAAACAGCACTGTGATCTCTCACTGAACTGCCCTCCTGTAAGAAGTGTAGCCCTCTGATGTATAGAATCTATGAATATATGAGTCAAGAAGGACATCTGAGATCATGTATTCCCATCTCTCTCTCTTAGAGATAAAGAGACTAAGGTCAAGAAAGAGAAAATGACTTGGTTTCTCAGCTGTAATTGGTAGACTTGGAACTAAAACTCAAACATTCTCATCCTTAGTACTTTGCTCTCTCTTCAAGAATCACGGGAACATTTTTAAGCAGCTCATGAAGAAAACTATTAATAGAAACTGCTTAACCAACTTTACACTTTGGGAGGGGCTCCTCTGATCTCCTCTTATCAAAGCAGTTATCAGACTATGTGTAGTTGCCTGGTTCCTAGCTTACGTCCCCCAATGGACTTTAAGTTCCACAGGGTCAGAGATAATGGCTTATGCTACCAATATCTAGCACAATGTCTGGCATATTAAAATTTCACAAATATATATTCAAGAAATGACATAGTAATTCTAAAATCTATATGGAGCAACAAAAGACCTCAAATGGCCAAAGAAATTCTGAGAAAAAAGAACAAAGCTGGAGGCATCACAATACCTGACTTCAAAATATACTACAAAGCTATAGTAATCAAAACAGCATGGTACTGGCACAAAAATAAACAAACAGATCAATGGAACAGAATTGAAAGCCCAGAAATAAAACCACATATCTCTGGACAGTTAGTCTTTGACAAAGGAGCCAAGAACATAAAATGGAGAAAGGAAAGTTTTTTCAATAAATGGTATTGGGAAAACTGGACAGCTACATGCAAAAGAATGAAAGTAGACCATTATCTTGCACCATACCCAAAAATTAACTCCAAATGGATTAAAGACTTGAATGTAAGACCTGAAACCATAAAACTCCTAGAAAAAAATATAGGCAGTACACTTTCACATCTGTCATAGCAGTATCTTTTCAAATACCATGTCTACTAAGGCAAGGGAAACAAAAGAAAAAATTAACAAATGGAACTACATCAGACTAAAAAGCTTCCACAAGGCAAAGGAAACCATGAACAAAACAAAAAGACAAGTCACCAACTAGGAGAAAATATTTGCAAATCATATATCTAACAAGGGGTTAATATCCAAAATATATAAAGAACTCATACAATTCAACAATAAAAAAAACAAACAACCCAATCAAAAAATGGGCAGAGGATATGAATAGACATTTTTACAAAGAAGATATACAGATGGCCAACAGACACATGAAAAGATGTTCAACATCACTAATCATTAGGGAAATGCAAATCAAAACTACAATGAGATATCATCTTACACCAGTCAGAACGGCTATAATCACCAAGACAAAACATAACAAATGTTGGAGAGGATGTGGAGAAAAAGGAACCTTCATACACTGCTGGTAGAATGCAAACTCGTTGCAGCCGCTATGGAAAACAGTATGGAGATGTCTCAAAAAATTAAAAATAGAAATACCATTCAATCCAGCTGTCCCACCACTGACTATTTATCCAAAGAACTTGAAATCAACAATCCAAAGATTATGCACCCCTATGTTCATTGCAGCATTACTCACAATAGCAAAGATGTGGAAACAACCGAAATGTCCATTAATTGATGAATGGATAAAGAAGATGTGGTATATATATACAATGGAATACTACTCATCCACAAAAAAAACAAAATGGTCCCATTTGCAACAACATGGATGGACCTTAAGGGTATTATGTTAAGCGAAATAAGCGAGACAGAGAAAGACAAACACCACAAGATCTCACTCATATGTGGAAGATAAACAAACATATGGACAAAGAGAACAGATCAGTGGTTACCAGAGTGGAAGGGGGTCAGGGGGTGGGCAAAAGGGGTAAAGGGGCACAGATATATGGTGATGGATAAAAACTAGACTATTGGTGGTGAGCACAAGGCAGTATATACAGAAACTGATAAATAATAATGTCCACCTGAAATTTCACAATGTTGTAAACCATTATGACCTCAATAAAAAAAAATGACCTAGTATGTTTTTGAGGTCCAACTCTATATTACACATGCACACGGGCAGGCGTGTGCGCGCACACACACACACACTTGTAAACCCACACAATACATAGAGACAGATATTAAAATGTATAAAAATAGCCCATTTCCTCTACCACCAGATAAACATATTTTTACAAATGATATAAAAATATTTTAAAAGATTGTTTTTCAAACATAAATCTTTGTCCCTGTATATTGAACTTTACTTTTTTATTTCAAATAGGTAAAATAAGTAAAAACGTAGTTAAAATATCTTTTTTCCAAATATAAAATATAATACAGTATCTGCTCTTTTTTTTTTTAAAAGATGAGATGTTTTGGTTTTCTTTCTTTCCTTCTTTCTTTTTTTATTTTTTTTGAGGAAGATCGGCCCTGCACTAACATCTGTTGCCAATCTTCCTCTTTTTTCTCCCCAATGCCCCAGTATATAGTTGTGTATCATAGCTGTAGAGTTGTGGCTCTTCTATATGGGACACCACCTCAGCTGGCTTGATGAGCAGTGAGTAGGTCTGCGCCCAAGATCCAAACCAGCGAACCCTGGGCCACTGAAGTGGAATGCATGAACTTCATTGCCGCGCCACCAGGTCGGCCCCAGTATCTGCTCTTTTAAAAGTTATTTTCAGTATAGAAATGCTGACACAATATAGGGTATTCTTTATTCTTCCAAAATCTCATCAAAATCACTCTGAGTTCTGTCCTTTCCTTCTACATAGTGGATGGGCTCCCATTTCATGTTGAGTTCTACCCTAGCCACGTTGTGGAATTTACCAGTTAGCAATTATATCTCCTTTATCCTTAGCTCTGGAAAACAATTTATTATTTGAGCCTCCAAATACAAAATACTACATATTGATACCAAATAAATTTTCACACCCTGCGGTTGGATGTGTGTGTGTGTGTGTGTGTCTCTGCTTATTATACTCAGCATACCAGAGGCACATGGCAGAATCTAAGGCCAGAGAGTTACTTACCAGGATATAGCAGGGCCTTCTTCCAATCTAAAAGAGAGGAAATCCAGGTAAAACATTAATCTGTGGCCTCGCATTCCTCTCCTTTCCCCTTATTTTTCTTCCACTAATCATCACTAAACCTTTTAGTCATTTCCTCTAAGAGGTGGAAGCTGAGAAAGTGTTGAGCATCGGGACATCAGGTGGCGAGGGAAACCCAGAGTCTCTTACCTTCATCATATAATGCCTTTCGCCACTCTGCAAGAAACAACACTCAGTGAGAGACCCAGAACAGGTGTGAAAAGGGAAACAAATTCTACACAGGGCATGAGAAGAAGCAAGACTCACCAAGCTCTGCCTTGAGGTTTGCTGAAAGAGGAGGAGATATAAAATTCATCAACTTGGGTTTTAGCTGCTCCTGAGTTCGGGGAGTAGCTAAATGAATTCAATTTGGCCTTCCCTTAAAAGCCTCATAGTTAAGTAGGCAAGAAAGATTAGCAAACGTGCATGTCAAATCTAAAATGACAAGTGCTAAGAAAAGTTATATGGGAAGCATCATGGGGTCACAGAGGAAGGAGTGCCCACGCTTCACAGGAGCTAAGATTTTTTTAGGTGTTTCTGAAGCTTATTTTTGAAGGACGAATAGGAAGAGAAAATTAGGAAGACAGTTCCACGAGGAGAAACAGCAGCACAGGTTGGGGCACAGAGGCATGAAAGGGCCTGGTGTGGTTTGAGGAGTCCCACTTTAGAGGCCTCATGACCACTGCCCACACATCTCCAAGCTTCCCACACGGTTTTCTCCTTTCCATAGGACTTCCAGCTCTGTGGAATTCCTGGTACCCTGTGTTTTCCTTGGGGTCCTTGAGGCAACTTGTCATTTCCCCATCTCTCCTACACTAACTGCATCCCCAGTTTTTCCATGAACCTCTGATTTGCCCTGCTGCCCTGATTTACCTTTGGCAGTAAGCGCCATTTCCTTTTCCTTCCTCATCTGCTCTCTTTCGTGAGATTCTTTCTTCCTTTTCTTTACTTCTCTCTCTTTGGCTTGATGTTCTCTCCAGCCAGTGTAGCTGATCCCGATGAGGAGGAGCCCCAGCACAGGGAGTGTCCCAGCCAGGGCTGCCTTCCATGGACACGTCCTGGGGAAGAAAGGCTCTGACACGGGCATGTGGAGACATAGTGAGGACTGGCCTAGAGGAAGCCCTGCCCTCTCTCCAAGATTTCCCCCAGCCCTCCTTCCCTCCTCTTTGCCCTTACCACACTCCCAATTGTGCCTTGGGGTTTGTGCCTCACTGACCTGGAAGGAAGATGGCTGACACTTTTTCTCGGCCAGACAAGGGATTCTGGATTGAGCAGGTCACATTGCCCAGGGAGCTGTCTGTGACCACAAGAGATGCCTCCACATGGAAGAGCCCATCTCCATCTTGGGTTTGAGACTCAGAGAAGGATGGTAGCTTCACTCCCGCCGTGTCGCTCCACTGCACCCCGGGTTTTGGGAACCAGCCACCTGAGGAGCACAGCACTCGGATCCCGCCATCCTCAGGCCCCATCATGTGAACAAGAGGGGCAGAGCCCAAACCTGAGGAGAAAAGACATGTGTTTGAAGCCTGTCGTCCTCGGGGCTTAGGAGTCCTTAAGTCTGAAGGCTGAACTACCCTTCTCTAGACTGACTAATGAGTAAACTAAAGCTCAGAGGTCAAGAAACCACTCACAGCCAGTGTTAGGCTAATCTGTGTTTCAGTGTTGAAATTAGCTTAATGCATTTGCATTATATTAGGACTAAGAGAGCTTTGGAGTCATTCCAAAGAGAGAAAAAAACATGCACAATTAAAGTTAAAAAAGGAATTTAATTTTGTTGGTTGTCTTTCTCTCCTGATTGGGTAAAAACTAATGTTTGGAGGTGTCAGTACCTATCTGAATTAATACTAGGCAATTAATTTCCCAGAGTTTTTAGGATACCAAAACACCTTCGGAAATATTGCCTTCTCTGGTCTTTAATAGCAAATAGAGTATGCAGTCTTATCCTCACTGTACAATTAAGGAAATTGACATTCTGCAAGACAAGGTAGCATCAACAGATGGAAGATCACAAGAAATTCTGGTTAGGAATCCAGACGTCCTCATCTTTCTCTTTGCCTTACACGGTGACATATATACTCTGTGTCAAGTTAACATACCTGTAACATGCAGCTCCACAATGGCCTCTTGGGACATGTGACCATCCTCAAAATGACACTGGTACTGGCCATTGTCAGAGGCACGGACGTGTAGCAGGGCCACAGCCCCCTTGTGGATGGAGTCCCCCACCAACTCCATCCTTCCGCGGTACTCCAGCATTTGCTCCCCGCCTTGTTCCTGTCCATTCTGGTACACGAGCACAGCAGGGGAGAGCTGGACTCGGTACCACCGGATATGCATCTGGGCTGCACTCTGCTCAGGGGACAGCTGGCAAGGCAGGGTGGCATCTTCCCCTAGCAGGACATTGATGGGCTCAGCTGGTCCTTTCACAGAAAACTCAGACACTACATGAAAATCAGAAACAGGTTAGGGGGAATGAGTGAGGGGAGATGAGACAGAAGACCCATCTACATTTCTTTATTTAGGGACCCAAACATATTTCTTTCTTATTTGTATTATTATCTAAAAAATTAATATATATTTTAAAATTTACTTATATATAAAAATCTAACTTCCTCAACTCTATTCCTCACAAGTAACAACCATTGATAGTTTGGCATTTGAGAAGACATATTTTTTCCATGCACTTACAAATAGTATTTATATGTAAGTTATGTAAAACCTATGAAAAAGAGATTTATTGAGAATTAAGTATGGCAAAGTAACATTAAGCAATTATCATTTTTTTTGTGGTGGCAGGAGTAGGGCTATTGGAAGGTACTTCTCTCCTCACTCATCCCTTTGTCTCTGGTCCTAGGAGGGTAAGTAGATGTTTATGACCTTGAGATTTAGGTTACTGTGTGTTGGGGTAGGGGGAGGATTAATAGTGTTTTATCCCAAGGTGAAAAGTAGAATTTATAAGGTGAGGTAGGCCTTTTTGGTTTTTAAAATAACTATGAAGGCTAAGAATCACAGAGAAATGTTTTTCATAAAAATCATTTTCCTGAGAGGGGTGCAAGACTTGGAGGCCAGTGGCTCCAGATGTTAAGAGGCAGAGCAGTCTTTACCAGAGAGGATGGTTGGGTTCCCCAAGGGAGGGAAGGAGGATGCTGTGGGCTAAAATGGGAACTTAGTCTGAATTATAAAATATGCTCTTTCATCAAGTCACTCACAGCCATCTGCTTGAAAATTATTTTACTGTAGAGATCCGTGATGACTGAAAAAAGTGACTGGTACCCCCTGGGGAAAACTGCTTAGCAGAGGACCAGAATATTGTGGATCCTGTGAATGATGAGGACTTAGGGCCTGCAAATGCAGTGACTCTGTGGGGCGGGAAGAGTTCAGAAAGGCATGGTTGTGTTGATGTCCAGGAGGGGTGAGCACAGATGTCGAGGATGTATGAGCTTAGAGGAAGGAGCCCATGGCCGGTCTGTCTCAGGGAGTGTGGATCAGGCAGTTCTGGGCAAGAAGCATCACATTGGCTATTAGGCTATACTGAGTCTGTGGTCCCTCCTTCTTTTCCATTCCTGTGTAAAACCCAGGGTACTGGTATAACTCAATAGATGTATGTCCTTAGCTAACTGATACTGGGCTGTTGGCCATACATGTTACACAAGACATGGAAGCAACCCAAATGTCCCTTGACTGATGACTGGGTAAAGAAGATGTGGTATATATAGATGATGGAATACTACTCAGCCATAAAAAAAGCCAAAATCACCCCATTTGCAACAACATGGATGGACCTGGAGGGTATTATGTTAAGTGAAATAAGCTAGAAAGAGAAAGACAAACAGTGCATTATTTCACCCATATGTGGAAGATAAACCAACACACAGACAGATAGAACTCTTTGGTGGTTACCAGGGGCAAGGGGGGGTGGGGGCTGGGCACAAGGGGTGGAGGGATGCACTTATATGGTGACTGATAAACAATAATGTACAACAAAAATTTCACAATAAAAAAAATGCAAAAAGGAGAAAGAAAAGGTATTTGACATTACTTATAGCCACAGTGTAGTGGAAAATATCATTCTGTTTCACATAAATGAAATTATTATATACCAATTTCTGCAATAAAGAACATCCAAACATTTTAGTACGTATAGTCAGCTCTACCTGATTATATGCATGGGAGAACTTTCCTTTAGGACAAATTCTTGCAGAACTGCTGATTCAACATCTATGGGAATTAAACATTTTATACTCACTGCCTAATTGTCCTCAAATTAAAGAGACAATAACAAATAAAGTCATCATTGTGATCTCATACTTGTTTCTCTCCAAATCTGAAGTCTGAAAACTTCATACTGAGGGGTCGTTTCATTTTATGAAAGACGGATTCATATCCCAGAAAGAATCAATGATTTGTCCAAGATCATAACAAGATAGAGCTCAGGGATCCTGCGTCCAAATTCCTTGTACTCAGACTTGGGTTTTCTTGGCAGTGTGAACATTAGGAAGTGTATTTTAACCAATAGTTACATCAAAATCAAACAGGCTAAAATCACCCATACTCAATCAAGATTTGTAAATATTACAGCTATGAGTTTTATGAGGTCTTCCCAAAGGAGGAAGGGGCATTGATATGAAGGAGAACACTCCCATTCTTGGCCTGACACTTCAAGCCTCCTGTTAGTAGCAGACACAGCCACAGATTCTCCAGGATATAACTGCTTTTGAGAGGGGGTAGAGTTGTGGCTGATGGATGACTAAGGTTTTTCATTATATGAGAAGGGCCATTGAAAACAAGCCAATAAATAAAAAGCATGAGGCAGAATACTGACCTGCTGAGCACCATGTAGACACCTGGAGGAGAAGAGGGAGGAGGAAGCCAGCAGGAGAGTAGCCAGGAAAACTCACCATCTTCTTCAGAGCAGACAGTGGAGCATGCTGGAAACATGAACTGTTCCCTCTGACAATGAGGTCCATGTAGGAGAAGGTGGTGAGAAAGCCAGCAGAGTGAAAGTTCTTAGAAAAAAACAATCTCCTCTTCAAAGATTTACTTTTATACACAGATTTTTGGCTGTTTTCCCTCATAGACCTTAAGACAAACACCCACCAACTCCCACCCCACCCCCAATGGGTTTTCCTTCCCTCTCTTCTTTCTGAAAGCCACTGTGTCCCCAGCAGGTGTAGAAAACTGTAAACCATTCTCTTGTGTCCTGTGCACTGCCTTGCTTATCTATGGATTCACTCTCCCACCAGAGCTCTCTTGAAATTGAAAACCCTGAGTTCAATGTTGAGAAATAAAGTCAGACACAAAATTTGTCCACTCCTCTCAGCTAATCTGTCGTCCTCCTTCATTCATTCGTTCATTCATTCATACATACATTTGTTTATTTATTTTGACCAAAAATTCTCTTGTGGCTTAACTTCCAAAAAGGAAAGGAGTTTTCTCACCATGGGACGCAGAGCTCAAGCTCTTCTTTTTTTCAGAACCCACATCTCCCACAGACACACCTGCACATCACCACACATGTCTCTCTCACCATCCAGATTGAGCCGAGGGGTTTCCAGGAAGCTCCTGGACTCCTCAGTGCACCTACAAGGCCCAGTTCCAGAGACAGTTTGCACCTAGTTGTTCTTGTGGTCAGCATCCAAGCCTGTCGTGGCAGGGGCTGGGAGCAGCAGGTTTCTCACCCATCTCTGGAATGGAAAAATATTATTCGTAAGAGGGAAAAATAGGGCTGCCAAGAGGCACTGGCATTTGAATGCCTCTCCTGGAATGGTCTAACGAGAAAGGCACAGCCTGCCTCCAGTTCTTCTAGTTACTTTAGAAGTGGAAGTAGTAAAGGTCATCCCAAGGGACTTTGGACTGGGCTGAGTTATAGAATGATAGAAAATCTAAAGTTGCTTTTCTTGAAAATGCTCAGTGGAGCTCTCTCCTCTCACCTGCAAAGGGCTGAAATCACATTATTGACGGAGAGAGAATCATCTTCCTATATGATATTCAGGTCTTCTGGTCATCCCAATGTTCAACTCACAAAGTTAACTGATGTAGAGGATAAAACCAAGAGAAGCACACTTCCTCTTCCCACACAATAATTGACATTGGAAGCCATGGGCAGAACTGTGCAGGGGAAAAGAGACGTCGGAGATGGAGGTCTCCGGGCTCCAAGAACCTTAGGGCTATATTTCCAAGAACCTTAGGGCTCCCAATAGTAGAATAGAAATAACAACACAATTGTACAGTTCCAGACATAGAATGTGCTCAAAAGGCATTTTCTTTCCATTTCACGTGATTTCCTAGTTTAATTCATGTTTCTTCATGTCAGACAAGGTTTACAGATAATCAAGGACACAAACAGTAATTGCATAAATATTAGTATGAGAGCCAGTAACAATCTGGCCAAAGGGATACCAAGATCCTAAATAAATATTCTTTAGAGACAGTGAGGTGCATTCAGCTTTTTAAGAAATTCAATTTATTGAGATATAATTTGCATACAGTGGGGCGCATGGTTTTGAAATGTACCTTTCAACGAGGTTTCACAAATGCTTACTCTCACGTCATCACCACCTAAAACAAAATATGGAATGTTTCGTTCTGTTGAAAATTTCCCTCATGTTCATTGTCAGTCCATCCATTCCAGGAAAAATAAATAGCATCTGATATAAATCATGATAGTTAATCTTGCCTATTCTAAAATTTTAAAAACAACAAATAAGGAATTATACAGTATGTATGCTTTTGTGTTTGGCTTCTTCAGCTAAACAAAATGTTTTTTGAGATTCAACCACGCTGTATGTATCTGTACTTTTAAATTTTTATTGCTACATAATATTGCATTGTTTTAATATAGTACAATATATTCTTCCTTAGTTCTCTTCAGGGCTACCTCTCACCTCATGCTTGCCCTCCTTTTTCCACTCAAGCTCTTTCACACCATGCTGGGCAGCCCTCCTCCCTGAGGTTCTCCTGTCTCACTTGGGCTGACACCTACCTAATGGTTTTGTTCTAGAATGTTGGGGACTGGGAAGGGAAAACTGACGGGGAAAAGAGAAGATTTGAAAACACTACTTGCCTCTTTTGTTTACTTTGAAATTTGTGATATATGTTTGTGTGTGTATTCTACTACAAAATGTAAATGGATTAATATACATTTCCAGCAATACTGAAAAAATAAATTTGAAAAGTTCATATACATATCTTACATATTTTCCTCAATGATAGAGAATTGTCTGAGTAAAGCCAACTAATCTGTGGAGAATATTTTGAGAGAGTTACATTAAGCACATACCAATGTTTGTGTGTTTAAGAGAGAAAGGTGAGGAGGGAGAGAGAGTGAGAAAGAGAGAGAGAGAAAAAAACTACAAGATATTATTGATTTCAAAAGGCAGTTTTTAAAATAGAGTGCACAGTATGGTCCTATTTGTTTAAGAAATATGGAAGGATAGGCTTCAAAATCACAAAAAATAATGATAGGGTATCTATTTCTGAGTGGTACAAATATGGGTGTTTCTATGTATTACTTTTGCTTATCTCTAATTTTCAGATTTCTTTAACATGAAAAAATAAAGAATAATGTGTGGGTAGAGATTTTTTTTTAATAAAAATTTGAAGTATAATAGGAAGGATTCATTCATAGGAGATGCCAGATTGGAGAAACAATCAGCATTCTTGGGAATGAAAAACTGGCTTACAATAGAAACCAAATGGAAGGGTCAATTATCAGAGTAGACACTGCTGAAGATCAAAATATTGGGCTAGAAAAATGAAGTTACTGGATTCTCCCAGAATATGGTGCATTAAATCAAAGATATAAAATTCAGGAAACATAGGTTGAATTAATCACAATAGATCCATAACTTCAACATTCATCTGACAGGATTTCCAGAATGGAAAGAAGGAAATTAGGGGCAAGAAACAGGTCCCTGGATTGAAAGCACACTTCAAAAAAAGCTGGATTATTGGAGGAAAAAAATGAGTTATTTATACATGAATTCTTGTAAAGTTTTAGAGCTCCAAACAAACAAATAAACAAAAACCTCAAAGCCTCCAGGGTCCAAAAAATGTGTTATGTATAAAACAAAAAGAATCAGATTCCATCATATGTCTGTCATTCAACATTCATTGCTAGAAAACAATTGAATGTAGTCTTTACCTCCCTGAATGGAAACTAGAATGATCTAAGCAACAAAACTAGTATTTAAGCGTAAGGTCAAAAGAAAGAAAGTTCTGGACAAGCAAGGAATCAGAAGTTTTCTCCTCACAAAACTTCTCTTACATGAAGAGTGAAGGTTGCAGGTTTTGAACGCGGGGATTTGGAGCAGGGAGAAGGTACAGACACTTCTGGGATACCTCCCATGCTCTGTTTACTTCTACCCTGGTGGCCACTGTTATTCGTGTTGGGGTAAGGTGGAAAATAGGAGGTTTTGCAGACGTTGTCTGTTGAAGTTAACCACCTAGGAATGGAGGAGTCATCTGCTGACTTGATTTGTTTTCTTCTTTTTCTGGTAGCCTCTTCCAATAGAGTAGTTGTCTCCAGAGAGACTGTGTGGGTGTCCTGTGGTGGTGACAGATATTTTGGTATTTGTTTATATAGGCAGACCTGGGAAAGGTTTGGCACTTCAAGCCCAGTGGAGGAAGGGGTTAGATAAGTGTCACATTGAGTCATTCTTCTAATCCATCTTAATTGCCTGATGTGGATTTATATTAATGAAATTTAAGAGAAAGTGTTGGATCTCACCCACTCATAAGGTAAAAGATTTGATATAGCATAGTTGTTATGTTATTTAAAACCTCTATGGAACAAGCCCTGATGGCCTAGTGGTTAAAGTTCGACACTGTCACAGCTTAGGCAGCATGGGTTTGGTTCCCAGTCACAGAACCACACCACTCATCTGTCAGTAGCCATGCTGTGGCAGCTGCTCACATAGAAGAACTAGAAGGACTTAATGACTATGATATACAACCACACACTAGGGCTTCAGGGAAGGGAAAAAAAAGAAGAAAAAAGAGGAAGATTGACAACAGATGTTAGCTCAGAGCAAATCATTCCCTGCAAAACAAAAAAAAAATTATTTCTCAATTTCTGTCCTTACTTTAAACTAAATTTTTAAAAAGCCTCTATAACTTCATTTGTATGTTTCATAATGGTTCTGTTCATTTCTGATTAATTATGATTGTAAATTTCTTTTTGAATTCAAATTTATTTTGCATTTTTTAATTCTATTGTATGTTGTTAGCACTATGAAATTCTTGAAAGTTATATGTTCTTAATGAATGTCTCTATTTGAAAGGGCAATCTTGTTTCTTTGAATGATTTCTCTCTGAAAGTTATTTTTATTTTAAAAGTAATATTGCCATATTTACAATTTTGTTAGACTATGTCTGGTTTATATTTATTTCTTGTTTTCCTAAGTCTCTTATAAACCATATATAGATGCTCAATCTTAGATCCAGAATTTCAAAAATGTGTAAATTAGAGCTTTCTTAATTATTTCAGGCTCTAACTCAGAATTTCTTTCTGTCATTCTAAGTGAGAAAAACAATTATTCTAGGATTCATAGGACTTGAAGGATCTTCAAAACAAAAATGAATTATGTAGACAGAGGACGGCAATCTCATCCTTACTTCTTCTCACTATTTGCAGCATGGAAGGAAGATGAAAGGTTCCAGAGAACAATCTTGGAATTTTAAACTATTTGTCTTTCATCATGGTTGAGATGGATATCACATCAGTGGAGGAAATTTCTACGTCTGGGAAAAAGAGAATCAGAAAGTATGAATGTCTTTTCAATTCCCTGTCTAATGGAATGAGGGGCCTAACTGGCAGATGAAAACTTATCATCAGAATGGCAGATATATTGAGATGAATTGAACAAGACATTAAAATAAAAATTGCTAACAGAAGTTATAATGTTACTGACACTCTTCTAAGTGCCTTACATATATTAATTCATGTAATCCCCACACAAAACTTAGGGTAGGTACTATTATTAAACTCACTGTCAGATGAGGGAACTGAGGCACAGAGAGGTTGAGTAACTTGCTCAAAATCATGAGCTTGTAAATAGCCTCACCAGGATTTTAACTCAGGCAGTCAAGTTCAAATATCTATGCTATGAACCTGGATAATACATTTCCCAGAAAGAAAGAAACCACTTGTTTTTGATCCTCTCTATAACTTGTAAGTATGTAATTATTAGATTTATTATCCATGCCAAGTCAAAGTTCTCTCTCCTTATCTTATTTTATTTTCGGGTTTGAGTAGGTTAGTGTGGCTGAAGATAAGCACACTCCTGAGAGCTTCCTGTGTAGGGGTCATCTTTCTTTCTGTTTTCCGAAATCCTTTAAGGGACCACCCAAGGCCTCCTCCCTGGCCAAGAGTTTTCTAACGTCTGATATCCCCTTGATATCTTGGAGCAAGTCTCACAGGAGAGACCTGTGGGCAGCCGAGAGCCATGGTAACTGGCAGAAAGGGCAGAGAGTATTCCTGGTGCCTGCAGCAGTGAAGGTGAGGAGTTCCAGGATGCCTTCATCTCTGTAAAAGACGTGAGTGCTGCATTTGCGGCTGATGGGCAAGAGGGAGGGAAATGAGAGAATCTGGACAAGGATCCCAGGGGATTGATGGAGGACAGCCAAGTTATATCTGTGCCTTCGTCATATGGAAATGTGTAGGGAGAAAATTTGTTGAGGCCAGAGAAATGTTTATGTTAAAGCCATCTCTCTCAGCGGCTGCTCATTGCCTCCTCTCTATCTCTCTGTCCATTGGATAAAATGTTCTTGAATGAGAGAAGAGTTTAGAGAGACTGTGGACAGATTTATCACTGCAGAACATGGCTGTTGAGATGAAGACTGTTTTCTTGGGAAAAGGAAACAAAAGGTCTTTTTTTGTGTGAGTGTCAAAGGCTTCCCTGATGTTCCCTGAGAGATGCTATAGTTATTTGAGAGCTTCAGGAGGCCATTTCTTTAGAAGTACTGAGAACCACCTTAGCTATGACTTCTTTACCTTATGGGTTCCATTTTTATCTTTACTCCAGCTATTTTCAGGACCCTCCTCTGTGTCATACTGTTCTTTGCTCTGGGAAACATGGTGGATTCTCTGGACTTCCCTCTGCCAAGAGACCTCTTCTCTATCCTGCTTCTCCAGGTGTCTATGTGGGGCTCAGGTGAGAATATTTTATATTTTCTATACCTGGTTTCTCTTGTTCTCTGAACAGAAGGATTAAATCACTCCATCACTTTTCATACATACCTGGGTTAATTTTAAATCCTTTATTTTTATATAATGATTTATTTACCCATACATGAGGGCAAATAAATCATTATGTGATTATTTTAGAGAGAAAGACCAGCTAGAATTACTTCACTAATGCCTTCTAATTCGTTCAGGTCTCAGCTTCATGAGGATGCATTTTCTGATGCCCAAGGCCTGATTAAAAACTCTAATTTTATGATTTCTCAGCCCTCTTCGCTCCTCCTTCATAGAATTTACCACCATTGCAATTAAAAAATCATTTGTTTAATATGAGATTAACGTTGTTTGTAAGCTCTGCAAGGGTAGAAATCCACTTTGCCTTGTCCACTACCACATCTTCAGTCTGAATGAGTGCTGCAAATCATTGGTGTACGAATGAGAGAATGTCTATGGGGCTCTACTGGGCCGGTAATGATGCCGTGTTCTGATAGTCTTTTCACTTATGGCTCTATTCCAGATTCATTGTCGGTGATTGGCCCTTCGGAGCCCATTGTGGCCATGCTGGGGGCAGACACGGTGCTGCCCTGTCGTGTGACCCCAGCCATGAGCGTGGAGAACATGGAGTTGCGGTGGTTCCGCTCCGAGTTCTCAGAGGCTCTGTATGTGTATCAGGATGGAATGGAGCAGGCGGGAGAACAGCTGGTAGA